GATGAAACTATTGTTCTTTATTGGCAGCTGCCCATACAGTCCTGGTCCTGACATTCCCGAAAACCAGCTCTACTGCCTGGGCTCAAGCAGACTTTCCGGGCACTGGCACTGACTGGCGCATTGCACCCGGCCTCCCCCCCTGCCCCCATGACAGGCAGATTTAGAAAAGTACATATTTAGGTTGAACCACATGAAATTGCCAATATTCAACCATCTTTTACTTGAAAAAGTGGTAATTCCGTAAAATCTGGGGATAGGTAACTTTGGGCTTTTTATAGTGTGGATTTAAAATAAATTGCTCCTAGGCAGTAGAAGGTTAAATCAGACATATGTGTGGTAGGACCATATAAAATTATTACAGGTTAGTTGTCAAAGTCTTTTTTTTTCCATTGCTTTTCAGATAGAGTGGAAGGGGGAGAGAGAGAGAAACTTCAATGTGAGAGAGACAAATCAACTGGTTGCCCCCTGCAAGCACCCCTATCAGGGTCAGGGATCAAGCCTATAACTGAGATATGTGCCCTTAGGTCAGAGTTGAACCCAGGACCTTTCAGTCTGTGGGCTGATGCTCTATCCACTGAGCCGAACAAGCTAGGGCTCAAAGTCTTTTTGTATATTGTATGCTATTTACTGTGTAAATAGGAAGTTGTGTAATCTCTGGTTTTACTCTTATCAGTAAAGTGAGCTGGTAAGGGAGGTGCTTTCAAATAGCTCCGTATCCTCTCCTTGGGAGCTTAGGTTTATTTGAACCTAATCACAGCCTGGGAGTTCTCAGAATTGCTCAGAGACCTACAGGAGGTCACAAGGAAGAGGCCAGAGCCTGGATCCACAGCCTCCTGTTAATTGCTCCACCCTGCACCAATGGGTGGAGAAAAAGTCACGTGCCAGAGCCTCTTCAGTGGGGACTTCAGGACTATGGCATGTCACTCATTTGTTTTAGGATGTTGCCTTCTGTGTGATAAAGTGCACTGTTGTGGTTCAAATGCATGAAATGGTAGGTGCAGCCTGGTACTTAAGAACCTGGACTCTGGAGTCGGAACAGCCAGGTTAGCATCCCAGCGCTTCATATACCAGCCATGCGACTTGGCAAATTGTGGTCGGTGACCCCTCTGTGCCCTAGTCTCCTCTGTAAAATAATACAAAGCCCCTACCTCTGAGGTTGTGGTGAGGATCCAGTGAGTTAACTACTAGATATCACTACATTGTTTGGAAATCAAAAGCAGTATTAAGGTAGTGCCTAGTTCTTTGAAAATGTTGACCAGTGAACTGGAATGTTAGTGTTTGGAAGCAATTTCAAGAACTCTAATCTCACCCCTTGTTGTACTGTTCCTCTGGCCTAAGACCTTACAACCCAGACCATTCCTTTACCTACCTGCTTTCTGCTGCCCCAGAGCTTTCCTGAGTTGTGGGGGTGACAGGTAAAAGGGGTCCAGAGTAGGACTTGGTCCCCTCTTTTTATCAGAAAATAAAATATCAAGTCAGCCCTGGATGAGGGAGACACTTTATAAAAGTTTATGTGAGGCTCCTGGACTTAACTGACATGTCTGCATATTTCACATGAAATGTAGAAGGCAAGGAACGGATACACTTCATGTTAATCACTCCAGGAAGGAGCAGGAAATCCACCTTGGGACAGCAAATCTGGGCTTGGAAACATTTCAGCAACACACATAGCAGGGGAGACCTGACCCATGGCTGACTGCAACCTACCCAAGAAATAACCTTGCTTTTTATCTTCTCTTAGATCATAAACGTAAGATAGGTTTGCTTTAACAGATTGCATTCGGATTTTTTTCTGATTACAGCTATTTAAGAAAACGTACATGTGGTTCTAACCCTTAGAGTTTGAGTCCTTCCCCCACAAGGGTTCTGAAAGCTGACTTGTGCTCTGTGCTCCCTTCCCCGCCCCAACCCCCCAT